GGGGGGGGGGGTAATGAATACATGTTTAACTACAATATTTTCAATTCAATAAATATAACAATGCTACAGCTGCACAAAATGTAGCCACTAAGTGGGAATATGTTGATATTACACACAATAACATTGGTACCAACTTTGCATCAAGGAGTAAACTGATAAACACAAGACATGATGGCAGAAAAAATGAACAGTTATTTCACATGGCAGACATTGCCCGCCTTAAAAAAATGTGTACCAATGCATTGAAGGCTTGGCCCTCTACCTCATTGGTTTTTAAAACATTGCAATTCCTACAAGGCAATGGGTGCTCTGGTACATGACCCTGCAGTGCTGATATAAATCAAATAAATGTCTGTGCCTATATTCAGATTGTTTTTCTTAGTTTGTCAACCATTGGGGGGGGGGAGGGGTCGGTCCAACACTGACAGCGTGAATGAACTAAACAGATGAGCTAGGGATGCACATGTTTGATGCTAATAATAAATGGACATTACCTGATTTCCATTTAGATTTTGAGAGGGGTGAAGTATCTATTGGTAACTCGGTTGTCTACATTCATACACATGTACAGAGTACCAAATTTCTAAGTGGGAACCCATCTAAACCAAAATATAAAATGTACACTGCAAAATGTCTCTGTACTTTGGTTTGTACAAGTTTTTTCTGAAACTTATTCATCAATCAAATTTTTGTATTTTGAACCCTAATAGAGCAATTACTGCATTACTTTTTTTTGACCAATAAGGGGTACCATTTGTGATTAAGATACATGAAACTAAATATTCACTTCACAAAATGTTAACTCAATCACTGCACATCTCTCTGTGAAATGCCCATCTTTACCTTGTATCAACCCATAACTGACGGATATTATTAATTTTACTTTTAGAATTCCATGAGCGACATTGTAAAATAATAAAATATGGACATGATAGAGTTATTTTGACTTGTCAATGTTTACACTAGTGTTACATAAAGTGCTACACTAACTGTACATGCTTTCATTAAAATGTTATGTTCATAATGTGCTCGTGAATGTGCAAATACTAGTAGTTGCATAATTTACAAGGCTTTGAAATTGTACAACACTGTCCCTACTCGCATTCAAATAGATATTAGCTGGGTGTTTTGATTGTAGGGAACTAAAGGCATTTCAAAGGTACTTTAAATGAATACATCTAACTGTGGACAAGTGATATTTCAACTACTTGTCTAATTTATTTTACACTGTCATCAGTGAGAAAATACACAATTCAAACACAAATAAATTGTAGCAAATGCCAAGAAAAGTTAAATAAACAAAAAAAAATATTTCAGAAATCCTAAATGGATTATTAAAACATTAATAAAATACTGTCCAAAAGTGATTTTTGTAACTTTTTTTAAAAAAAAAGGTTATTCGAGATTTATGCGTACTATGCATAGTTGTTTTTTTCAAAAACTGACTTATTGAATTCTACATCATTGAGTAAGGAAGTATTGAAGCTGCTACAAAACTGATATGAAAAATACAAGTTTACTGTGGCATTGAAGAATGTGGGTGGAAAACACTTGTTCAGCCACTAATCTGGGATGACATTGAATAATCCAGTCACACATGTGTATCAACACAGATTTGTGATACTGTAAAAGTATTAGTTTTCATTGATAACTATTCAATTTAAATTTGCAAGTTATTATGGAATATAACAAAATTAAAACTGAGTAACTAATGCATTTACATTAATAACCTAGTCAGTCAAGTGCAAGGAATCATGGGGTTTGGAAGTTCCATTTCTCAGGAGTACCTTCCCATAGTGCACATCAGGTCAATTCAATACATGTTCTGAAATATAAATTTAACAAACTCTAGTCTGAGTGAGCCGAGAGCATACTCCCATTTGTCCGACACAGAAATAGTACATTTGTACAATTCTACATTGTGATGACAGACAGGGAATTTACATCAAGGTAGTAACAAATGCATTCTTTTATGTTATCAAGCTTTATTGGACACGGACCGTGACACTCAAAATAGAAAAATCACTAGCATTTTAAAGAAACTTAATTATTAGTATTCAACTATTAGTTTTTGTATGTATGGAATCAGACAGGAATAACCACTATGGCCAAGATATCCCATGCAAGCAAGCACTTCACCGACTAGGGTTATATTCTTCCCCAGTGTCGTACAATTTCCCCAACTTTATTCATCCTGTGACATTTTTTCGCTCAGTCTGTCTTACAGAAATAACTTCTTTGAAGCACAGAGATAATTATTTTGCACCGTTGCAACTTTTCATAAAATGGGATGAACAGAAATGTGCCTGGAAAATAGTATTATTTCTCTAAGACAATATTGCTGTCTGTCACAATTTACATCTTGCATTTGTAATACAATAATTATTCAATTAATTTCTTGGCCTTGAAATATCTTCTCAAATAGAATACTTGCCACGTTGCTAAACTTAAAAGGCAAACCATGGAGAAAATGCTAAAATACAGCACTCTTGAGTTTGTTGATTCTGCAAGAAAAATACAAAAAAAATTATCGTCAATCATACCTTTTCTAAAAACACAAACAACAATAATTCAATAATTTAATGCAATCAATAATCTACTACTGCTGTCTTTAAAGATAGACCCACATAGTGAAAATAGAGAAGTCATGGTTGATGCAAAAATTAAAAAATTTATATTAACCGACAGGCAGAGAGTGTTTACTCAAAACTCAATTTGTTTTGGGATCCAATTTACAAGAGTGTGATCAACAGGTTAGGGGAGAGACTGGCTTCAATATTTCACATGAAACAATGCCAATAAAGCATTATCATAATGCAAATTACTTTCATAAACCATATGGTGAACATAAAAAAAGGATTAACAATTCTGTAAGGAGACATGTCAATTCGTGATTGGTGGATGGTTATGTTTAGTAATAACAATACGTGTTGTAACACATAGCAGTCAAAGTCCAATAAGTCAGAAATCATTTTTTTTTAAATGACATAAATAATATTTTACTTGCCATTTGTATCTCTCATCTCTTCTTCTCTAGCTCTCATATAAGCAAAATCATTTACAATAGACTCTGAGAGATCCTCTAGTCTCCTAAGTTCAACTTCCATAGGTTTCAGCTTCTCCGCCTTAGCAATCTGAAATTAGCATAATTTATGCAAATTGAGGCAAATATGCAATCAGCCCTAGAAATTAAGATCGATGGTCAGTGGGAGTCTCAAAATTTCACAAATGTGCTAATAAAAATACTAACAAGCAATCTGAACATCTATTCATGCAAAATGCACCTTGTGGAACAATATTCACAGAATACAGGCTTATGAAACCATGACCAAAATGTTGACTGATAAGTTGGGATACTTATAGCAGGCAAGTACTTCCCCCTGGGTGCCCGGATGAGCCTCAGTGGTCTGGGGTGCAGGCTTCAAACCTGTAGCCGATTAGCGTCGGAGCGGTTCAATTCCGCCTTCTGGGCGACTTTGGGAAAAACAGACTGACTGCAACATCAGTTATACTTTTGAAATAGACAACAAACAGGATTGGCAATTGTTTTATATGTTTAACAAAAACAATTCTGACCCATGCACCTAATTGCAGATGCAAAACCGAATTACTGTAAAATGACTAATTTTCACTGGGTTTAAATTTCACTGATTTACCATTTCGGGCATATTCAGTGGGTTTTAAATTCACGGTTTCGTCATTTAGATAATGTGTTCTATGATAAATTTTACATATTCACTGTGTTTTAATTTAGCGCATTTTTCCAGTCAGCGAAATAAGCTAAATTAAAACCCAGTGAATAATTACCCCCTTTACAGTATTGATTATTTTTGTAAAATTTAGACTTCCCAGTTAAACTATGACTGCATTGCATGTACCTGAAACCAGACATTGTTCATTAAGGTAAATTAAATTGAAAAGCAACTTGTCCAAAAACAAATACAGGTTATTACAGTGAGCAAGGTAAACTTACATCATCATAGGTTCGAGCTTCTACACCCTTCTTCAAATAAAGAGACACTTCTCTGTCTGCACCTCTTCCACCTGGAAACAGAATTTAATTTAAATGTGTCAGAAATTAACATGCAAGCTACAAGATATTGAGATTTCTAGCCACAGAATATAGAAATGCAGTGGTACAACAATATAGATCATAGAGATCATCTTATAAATGAATAAGACGTTACTTTTTAACATGGTTAACTAATACACAGTTTTCTTAACCTTTTTCCCACCCAATTTATTCTGCATTTTTTTTCTTGTATTCTTCAATATTTCTGGAAACGAACCTTTATTTTTGAGCCAACAGACAAAATTTTAGTCAATTTTCAGTTTTAACTCAAAAAATGTGTCTATTTTTGTCCCAAGCTATTTTGTGAATTTCTGATAAAGGAGGGTGGTGACAAATGTTAAGCCAATACAGGTCATAATTAAACATGAAAACAGCACCTGTACTTATTTGTATTATACAATTTATAGTTAGTGTTAAGATTACAAAACATTTTTATTTAGTATTATCATATACATTAAACATTTACCAGTCACAGATGTATGCATACAATTAGGAGAAAACTAGGAAAAATAATCTCAATTATAGAAGTTGAATACTATCAACAGGAACTATATAAAAATGTGCAGCTATAACATTTATTTCATGTGTTGTTGGGTGTTTTATTTTTTTTTTTTTGGGGGGGGGGGGTTATGTAATTAAAAATTGTATTTATATTCCCGAATATACATTACTATACATTTATAGTGATACAAAAGATAACATGTTATAATGATCAAATGCTAAGGGGTCAGTATTTACAAACATATTGCAAGTCATAATACATTGATAGTTTCAGTATGCATGCAGTATGTTACGTCTATGTCTGGTTCATAGTACCAATATACACTTTACAGTACTAGTAATTTTACTAGCGATACACAAGTAAGGTTTGGTACTAATGCAGCGGTATTGCACAAACTAAATTTGATCACTACAATGAATCAATCGAATTCAGTTGCACAGTCACAGTGAGTGTAGTGTACATGTATGGCTCAATATTAATTCAATATTATATTTACCTGCAACCATTTTAGTGTGGAAACAGACCTCAAACATATCATAGTCGTCTGTGGTGAAAGCAAATTTTCCTTTAGTTGCATCGTCTTTCGTGTACAATATGTGTCCATTTGAATCTGCAACCTGGTTAACAAAAATATTATTTGAGATCATGTACAACATTGAAGGTGAGGTAAAGTTAAACTGAGCAAAACCATATTGTCCAATTTAAAATGAAACTCTGAATAGCGATACGAGTTGTATGAGCCATCTACTTACGTGAAGCAGTGTTTTCTGTCCCGGTGCATCTGAAAGGTCATAGTCACCGGTCACTAACACATCTTTGTGGATTTCTTCTTTCAAACATTTCCTGTTATTGACAGGCAGATAAAAAGACAAGCTTTGCACGCCGACGAAACATATTAGCGCAACAGCGATTAACACCTGAAAAATGTTCATCTTAAAAAAAAATTAAGAATTGTCTCTGCCGTCACGATATAGCTGACGAAGGCATCAACACCGTCCAACTTTGTAGAATATATCGCCACTCTAACAGATGTGATACAACCGCGAACCCACGAAGCAAACGTGGCAAGGGCTGAGCTCGGCAATCTTCGGTAACGATCGTACACAGCGAACTTGTATGTTTGTACGTATTTAATGTCTCCAACCGCAGTTTTAAATTTATTATCAATTATTTCCATTCTATATTCATTTCTCACTATCAGTGTCGCATAAAATACTTAATAAAATTTTAAATAAAATCGTTTTAATGTTTTAATACCATACTAGCAAATTATAAATCTCCGTTGATGGAGTTTTGTGTCAACAAACAAATAAGCAACCCAAATCACTTCCGGTATACAACGTGTGTCTCGTTTCCCTGGATATTTTGGCGTTGTTCACTTCGTTTTATACACCTGCATGTTTACACCCGGCAGACAGATGAAAATTTGATTCATTAAGGTGTGTATTTATTGGTTGCGTATCTTAATTTGTATTGTGTATTCGATTTTTAAAAATGTGTTGATCGATTCTCGTAAACGATGGGGGCGCTGTCTATTGGAATGGCTATTCCAAAACACTTTGCACAGATCAGACAAGACTCTTGGATTAAAATAAAATGACTTACTTTCAAAAATTGTTAAGCAAATCGATGAGGGATAGGTGTTGCGCTATTATAACATTTGTGATGGACAAAATTAATTACCACTGCCTTTCCTTCCAACTCTTTATGGGAAATGCTTCACATCATGTATTGATTTTGTAATATCGTCATTCTCTGACCGTTTAACAGAGAATCATGTATGTGATTTAGTGACTTGATGAAACCCTACGATAAACACAACCACAACCAAATCTATTGAACTGCTCGGGATGTTCGATTATATTCTTGGTTGATTCTGACCATTTGTGATTCCTTGGAGGTACTTGAATGTGTTCATTTAATACATAATCTTGGTTATTGTTTGGTGTGAAATGTGAACAACAAGCTTTTGAATAAGGTGTAATTACTGTATTATTATGCTAATTCTAGAAACCATTAAAATAAATTAATGGCATTATGTTTCTGTCAGCATTAACATTATTTTTATGATTATTCACAGGAGTTTTGACTATCTTTGCACGGTGCTATTTCATCAAGAAGCTACCATGTTTCTGACATGTATCCAGAGTAAGAAAACTTTCACTGATTGATGATTTACAAGTCAATTTACAAATAATATCCATTGTTCTACAATTATGCACAGTAATATACAAATAGCGTAAATTACTGTGTAAGAGACAACTGAGCCAATTCAGGAAAAACTGCACAATTTTGACAAGTAAACATTGGAATGCTTAAGACAGTGATCGAATCACTAACATTTGCAAAAATTCATTTTCATGTATGTCATCAAAGTAAAACTTGATAGTAGTAAATATTAATTGGTTTAAATCATTTCAACAGAAATATACTATATCCCGTGACAATTACCTTTTTTTGAAGTCGTGGTGCAGTCTGTTTTGATAACTAAAAACTCAAAAATCAGCTTTTTTTATTGACACTGTACTAACCAATTTTCATCCTTTTTCCCCCACCTATTCTCAACACTGTATCTAAATAGTGGCAAAGACCAAAAGCAAGTAAGTATTTGTCTCTCTAACTATCCATGGAGGTTTTAAAACTATGTGATAATATATTTTGTTGATGAAGCAAGGTGTACACATGGTCAGTCACAGAAAAATTACAATACATGTATTTAAGTTTTAATGAGATTGACCGCAGTTATAAAACCTTTACATTACTTGCCTTCACAGGTCAATTCTTGTCATGTTGGAAAGTGCAGCTGGAACTGGTTCCAAACTGTTTTACAGGAGAAACAGACTCAAAGAAAAATATATCCTGAGAAAATTTGATAAGCGATGTAAGAAAGCTCATAATATTAATTTATTAATTATTGTTCCAAAATATGAAATTTAAGAGAAAAAAAACAATTATTATAATATTGAAGACATAAAATTGTCTTTTTAAAATTGATTTTCTTTCTTTTTTTTAGTGGGAAGACACGCAATATTTATTGAAAAGAAAAAGATCAAGTCAATGTGATAGACAGCTGAAAGTTTTAGATATTTATTTGCAGTATTTTGTCTTATCAGAAGTGTGGATGAATATCAGTGTTCCAACTGTTTCATGGGAAGCCTTTGCTTCCTGCTTAAGCATAGGCACAATAACAACTGAACCACTCTCAATACAGAAAAAATCATTATATAAATTGTTTTTAAATTGAATAAAACATAAAAACCGTTTTTGTTAAAAGAGATAAATGTTTCCATATTGAGCAAGTTTCCTGTTCATTCAAATCTTCAACAAAAATTCTCATACTTGACGCATGAAGCCGATAACAGCCACTAGTCGGTTTTGTGTAAGTGACGTTTAGCACCGTCAATGAGGTTTGTCAATCAAACTTCATTGATGGTGCTGAACATATATACAGGTGTGAAGATATCATCGAAGTATGTTTATATTATCAAAATATTACTGTTATCCCCTGACATGTAGTTCAATGCAGATAGAGCCATTCACACATTATATTGCAGACGTTGCGCATTAGGTCTGATCAATACCGTACTTATCCGGGTAAGAGCCCATGCCTGGACAAACGCCCACCTCCCACTTTTGACACAATAAAGAAGTTGAGGTCATATCCGGGCACACGCCCAGGGTGTCTTTTTCTACACAAAACAAAAAAACAAAACAAAACTATTTTTTATTCGTTGACTGTGGTTGTATTAATAGTTGACTTTCTTGATGTCAGTCGTGATACTTATAAAAATTGTTAATTGCGTAAAACAAGGAGTGAACGCAAAATAGCTGCAACAGCATTCTTCCTTCAGGGCAGCGCGTTCACCGCTGATCTTTTTCAGAATCATAACAGTCATCAAGTCTATAAAAATAAATATTAAAGCAGAAACGGTAGTTCTCTTTTTGAAATGTGTCGTGGCCCTAAAAAGTGCCGGTCGTTTGGTTTGTGCTTCCTTAGAAACGATTCAAGCAAATCGTATAAGAAGAGCCGCTAAGCAAGTGTCGCACTTGTTCGGCTTTAGCGTCGTCGACAATGAAAAAAATGTTGCAGTATTGTAGCAACCCGCACCGGGGAGAAAGGTTGAAATCACGTTATTTTGTTTATAAATATTTTGTAGCAGCTTGCGAATCCATAACTGGGGCCAGCAATTTTGCAATGTCACGCCGAAGACTGCCAACTTTTTTTACCATCTTTTATTACCGCTATTGCATTTCTGTCATGAAAAATATTCTTCTGTCGTTGGATAAAAAAAAAATCCTATTTCAAGTCCACCGCGATATCCATATAGTGAGACATTCCAACCGCCGGAACTTGCTGAATGATAACTTTCACCGTGATTAATAAGCGTCGAGTCTGATAAGAAAGCAATGTCACGATTTGACCTTTATGATGAAATACTAGTAGTGATGTCATTCTTAGCCAATCAAGTAAATCAGATGCATAAAGGTCAAAGATGATTGCTAGACTGTAAACAAAAGCATCGTGTGCCATCGCAGCTGAGCGACCCCATTTTTCTTGTCTAGATCTCTTTATTATTAGACATGAATGAAAAGTGCCAAGCTAACATACATGTACTGCGAAATCCGTGGATTAAAAGTTCTAAGTCCAAATTGTGTGGGACGATATCGACGAACTTCAGGAATAAGTTGTAGGGAGTTTGTTCGACGGCTACAGTGACGCCGACTTTGAGGGTTTTGAGTTTGACGAAGATGGCAAAGAACGTACAAATAAAGATCTGAGAAGTGTTTTCAAACAGCTATGAATTTTTATAATTTTTACTGTGTAAATTTGTAAATTAATATTGATCTTGCATGACGGTTGATTCGTAATTTGTCGAGACCGGAAATCATTTTACGCAGTTCAACCCCTGACATTTTAATTCTATTTGAGTTCACGCGTATTGGGCGTGTTTGTCGGCGGGAAAATCCTAATTCAAATGATTTCTCGCTGTTGATTTTTATTATTTCTGGTTTATTTGTTACATTATAAGCAATACATTATTTTTGTTTTACTTCTAGTGTTGCATAGTGTCCATTTTATTTCCGTTGCATGTTTTCATTTGCCGTTCTATTCCCTGCCGCAGTTCGATCTGCCTGCATGTTGTCAATTTTCGCGAATTTTCATTTTTTTGCCGGGGATCTCCTGGCAAACGCCCACCCCTTCTTTTTGGCAATTTTCCATGTTCAAGACCCTGGGCTTATACCCGGATAAATACGGTATATTTATATTATAAATTATCACCACATATGGTCATGTTATCTCATTGAAACACTATTGCAGATATAGATGTTCAAGTAGTGCTGAACTTTATTTAGTATCCTCTGCCGAGATATACTAAACTAAATATACTAAACTGAAATGGTCAATAACTCCATGCAACATTATTGGCGCAGCACACGTTTGTTGTGTACACCCTCCTCTACTTCATTCAACACAAATTGCCCAAACCAATTATAATAAAGATGACGGGGGATCTTTTCCTCCAAAAGAAGTTATATAATTTCTTATGGAGTCCTGTAAAATCTACTGGATGCATGATAACTAAAGATATGTTGGATATTGCATTCCCAATGCAATGTCATTCTATATAATTTCTTTATTAATAGTTTTAAAACAATTCTGATGGCAGATCTTTCTTCCATGGAAAACTTGTCTGCGTTCCTGCGCCACATACACTCACTGATGCAATATGACTGGCACGTTTGATGCATTCTTCGAGAGGAAGTGCTGGATAATGCGCTAAATAATACGCTAAGGAACCAATAAATGCATCACCTGCACCCTGAAAAATACAATGAGAACTGTATCATAAACTCTCTACGGTAATCTCATCTTGTACCAAATAAACTCCCCATAAAATGTAAAAACTTGAGAAGCATTCATTTTTAGCTCATCGGTCTGACGGATCGCTTTGCTATGAAGATTCCTTCTATCAACAAATCTGAAAATTTGGTCAAAACTGAAAATTTGTATTTTCATCAATTTCCCAAAAAATATCAGTCTGATTGACTTGCTATTTTGCATGTAGATACTTGGCTGGTCCTGTTTGGCCTGTTGATTTAGTACATTATCTTCAAATTTGTATTTTAAGTGAATTTTTTATTATTTTTTTTAAACTTTTTTTGTCCAAATCATAATTTTTGAAAAATTTCTCTCTAATCTTCACACAAAGTTACCTGATTTAACTCGCTCTGTGATTTTGTTGTATGGTGAATATAATTTTGTATTTTTAGTGATTTTTTAAATGCTATTTTGTTAAATTTTTTGGCAGAAATGCTATTTTCAAGAACTTTTTTCAAACTGCTAGATTGTTATTTTTTACTTCAGGTGTGAAGGTTCCTTATTGGTTAAAGATGGTAATTTGTTCAAGAGGTGTAGATTGACTAATAAATCTGCAAATTGGGTCAGAAATACCAAAACATCTCAATTTTTATAGATAATCTCTAGGATCTGCAGTGCCCTCTCATGAAGCTGCTTTTTTTCAAACTGAACAATTTCCCTATTCGATTATACTTGGCAATGTATAGTACAAAGGAGTGGAGTAGACAACTCGTACAATTTTTGAATGATATTTTAGTGCTTGCTAAGCTACATCATCCTAGGACATGTATGACATTCAAAACTTAATATGCAGTGGCAACATAAAACAAGCAGTCTCTCGGCTAAGATAGCTCCGCTGTTAGCAATACAGATTTCAAGTAGAGAATTAAAAATATCATTAGAAAATGAACAATTATGTATAATATAAAAGCAATCAAACTTGCGGTTTGTGGGCTAAAAGTCAAAAATATCACTATTTACCAAAAATGACAAAAATATTCATCAAAATTGGAGAATTAAAGATATCACAATAAAATGAACAAGTCTAAGAGAGGTCTGCCCAAAGTACATATACACCAAGTATCCAAACAATCAGGTTCATATTTTCAGGAAGAAGTCAGTTGGTATAGAACATATATACAATGTAGGGCTACCAATAAATACTACATACAAAGAACAATGCATTGTAACAAAAACAGTGCGATTTTTAAAGCGACTACAATATTTTTATTTTTGTGACCAAAATGTTGTCAACTGATACATGTACTCACTGTTGTATCGATTGCTTTTACTTTATTCGTTGGTATATGAATCGCTTTTCGAGTCTCTGATGTCACGACAACAGAACCCTGTGTACCCAATGTTATGACAACCTTACTACACCCTTTATCAAGCAACGCCAGGGCAGCTTTTTCAGCTTCTGTGATATTAGTTACTGGAAGACCAGTTAATAGTTCTGTCTGAGAAAAAAAAATTGTTTACTGACTTATTACACTGGAATTTTCTGGGGAAATATGTGAAACACACCAATCGGTGTGCCTTCTAACAGAGATGATTTTGTAGGAATCATGAGTCATGGCGGAATTCCAAAAGATCAAGTCTGCTCAACTTTGTGTCTGCTGGGATGAAAGGTACTCAGCAATAAAACAAATAATTGCATGTGGCTGTGGAGGTGTTGTGAAACATGATTTCCTTCATTTTTACACCTAATTTGCATATAAAATTTGAATTTCATATTACTAATATGCAAATACCTTAATTATAATATGATTTTCTATTATATGAACTATAATATGATGATCAGTTAAGTATCATATACTCTTAAGAGTACAATGCTTACATTTAATATGCACAGTCGTGAGCAATAACAGGCAATTCTTACCTCCGTTTCATTTGGACAGAATATATCTGCATATTTGTAAAATTGTGAGTCTAGTTCTGGTATTGCTGGAGCTGGATTAAAAATTGTCAAGACTGAAATGAAAATATAAATAAATATTTAAAAAATGGATTCATAAACTATAAAGGCAATATCTAATAACAACACTTTAGTAACTCACTTCCTTTTTCCTTGGCGTACTTCATGGCAGCTAGCGAGGTATGTGGGGAGATTTCTAATTGACAAATCACAACTTTTAAATCGGGCATTTGTGATAATGCACTCTTGGCATCGTCCTCTGTAATCAGCATATTAGCACCGCTCACAATTACTATAGAGTTCTGACCTGGAATTTGGAACACAAGTTGGAATGATAAATGATTAATTAGCCAAACTTTCTTTATACTTATATTCCCATAACTTATTGTAAGTGACAGAATAGTCAGATATTTGATAATTTTGATCATTCACTGTGACTAAATTGTAAAAAAAGTCATTGCAAATTTGTCTTATGAACTTGGCTACAAAATTTAGGGATTTCTACTGACTCATAAAAAACATGACAATTTTTCTCTTGCGAAATTTAAGTGGCTTACACTATACATTACTTGTTTGGCAGTG